GATCAAGCTGATACGGTCTCCCAACTAGAAGCCTCTCCCACATCCAAATCCGCAAAAAAGAGTGGAAACTTGAATGTTAATCACTTTTGTTAAGAAAAAACATTGAATTGTAGTGGAAACTTGTACAACTTTGCTTTATTACCTGCAACAGCGATGCAGATGCACCCTGACATTGTAGCGTGCGCGCCTCCAGGACGACGGCATGCCTCGCAAAGCTGATGGTACAGGAAGGCAAGTATAACCGAGCCCCAACTCCTATTGCGGGCATCCTCCCGGTTCCCAAGGCACGGATGTACATCCAGACGCCGTGTTCTCCAAAGGCCGTTAGGGAAGAGAACCGTACCAAACATGTGCGGGGACGTAGGCCCGGCGAAGTAGTATGTCATGGTGCAGGCGTCTCACGTTGGTGGGCACTCCCGAAATGCCGACGAAGCCACCTAAGGGACACCCCATCGCTGCGCTGCTTTCTTGCCAACCCTCAATCGCCGCTAGGGGCCGTCCCAAGAAGTGCTCAACCCATTGCCGCCATCCTTGGACTCGGTGTCTCCACATCATTTGGGAATCCTTGGATTTTGACTCCAAGGATCATGGCAACGTCCTCGAGAGTGACCGTCATCTCCCCGCATGGTAGGTGAAAGCTGTGTGTATCCGAACGCCACCGATCTATCAACGCCGTCAGCGCCGCTAGGTTGAAAGGTGGCGTGCCTCGATGACAAACACGAGCAACGGTAGCAAGGTTCGCCAGCTTCAGGAGGGGCGTGTACCTCTCGTCGTAGTCCATGGTCGTAGAGGCCTCATGTGTCATTGGCCTCAGCACATTCAAAACCTACAAAAAAAAGACAAGCATGAAAAAGTATTAGTTCATGTCACTTTATAAAGAGCATGGACTATAGAGCAAAAGATGAACAATGCACTGTTTCATACGAATTGTTGAATATACCTCTTCGTTCTCGATCCTCCGAGCCCGGTGGTGCTCATCGAACCTTGGATCAAGAAGGGGGAACCGATCCATCCTGCAACATAAGCAATGCCAAAACATTAGTATAAGTTAAAGCATGTGTATGTGGTACGAAGTAACATAAAAATTAAAAAAAAACAAAAGTCAACCAATATACTATTACACAAAGCAATTCAAGTAGCTAGCTTGGTGGATACCTGTTGTCTAAGTAGTTTAGGACATTTTCTCTTATTGTGGCCCGGCTTATGGCAACCAGAGCAATGGCTCTTTTGGGTGTCCTCTACAAAATGTCTCCCAACCTTACTTGTGGTTGATCTACCTTTCGTGGCTCGGTCCATGTCCATCCTGAACCGCTTCCGCCGCCTAGGTCCTCTACTCTTCCAGAGTAAACCAAGATCAGCCACATACTTGGGGCCATCATAAGTAGGCCATTGACTCTCGTCAAGAAATGGCTCGAACTGAGGATTCCAGGTGCTCATTAGGTTCCTCAAAGAGAACTCCGCGGCCATACGGGGAGGGACCTCAGCGTCAACACGTCTAAGGCGACAGGCTGTAATCATGTGGGAGCAAGGCCTATGGTATATGATCGGTTTTCCACACGTACACTTATTCTCATTGATCACTACTTTATGTTTTCGAGCACCCCGGTATTCACCACCAATGTTAGTTCCACCACCCTCTAGAATCTTATATCCATGGTTGATCGGATCGAAACAAGAACCCTTCTGTCGTTTAGACTTTTTCTTTGAGAAAGCTAGTTCCTGAGATGCTAAAAGTGGCCAAGCTTTGCCTGTTGTCCATAGAGACCTCGCATGTTTCTTCCTCGAAACGAACCAAGAATTCAACTTGTAGAAGGTGAATGAGGCAATAGCAGTCACAGGCAGACCACGACAACCTCTTAGAAGGCTGTTGAACATCTCTGCCATGTTACTAGTCATGAAGCCCCATCTCCAACCACCGGTGTCATATGCAAGTGACCACTTATCCTTCGACGCCATCAACTCGCTCAAGAATTGCCTACCATCAACATTTGTGGCTAACTTCAGGGCATCTAACTTGTCTTTGAATAATTGAACCTCTTGCTGCCTGCAAACCTCCTCAAATAATTTGAAGTTGTCCTTTGTGTGATCACGCCTTATAAGATTCTGAGCAAGGTGTCTGGTGCACCACCGGTGATGTATTTGGCCGTAGCCAGGAATCTCTTGTTCTACGGCATTCAGAATGCCAGCATGCCTATCGGATATCACACAAACATCACGTCCTAGACCAATTACCACTTGTCTTACTAGCCTGAGAAACCAACACCAACTATCCGTGTCCTCCTTCCGAACAATCGCAAAGGCCAATGGCACAAGCTGGTCTTCTCCATCTGTCCCAATACAAATAAGCATTGTGCCTTCAAATTTCCCTGTAAGAAAGGTCCCGTCAATTGAGACGACGGGCCTACAATGCTTGAATGCTTCGATGCTCTGCCCGAACGCCCAAAACGCCCTTCCAAATACCTGGCTACCATTCCTTGTTTCACCCTCCTTAGGTAAATACTCGAAGTGCATCCCAGGATTTACAGTCCTCATTGCGTTCAACATTATAGGGAGGCGCTCATAAGCTTCTTCCCAATTTCCAAATATTATTTCCAGTGCACGCTGCTTTACCCTCTATGCTTTCTCATATTTGACATAGTAATTGTACCGTTGGAAGATGATCTCAACCAATGCAGACACCGTAATGGTTGGTATATGCTTCACCACGGGGCATAACTGCCTTGCAATGAACCTAGAATTGAGCTGCAGATGGTTCTCTTCTGCCTCAGCAGTGGCACAAACATGTGGTTGCTTCACTGAGGTAATCTTCCATTTGTCTGCCTTCGTCTTCCTAGCACATACTCTCCAACCACACTGTTGTTCTTCACAAGTAACAGTGTACCTCTTCTCCTTGAATGAATTGATGACCCTAAAAGGTCGGTTGTGTACAATGGAGTACTCTTGCAACCATGATTTTAATTCATCCATGGTAGCAAACAAGATGCCCTTCCGTATGATGAGGCAACCGCTAACATCAAGCACAGTTGTATCACTTGGCCCACCATCAGCTACTGCCCGATGACCATGGCTAAGGTCCTCGAAATCACCAACTAGTGGATCTCTCCAAGGCAAGACTCTAGACAATATCTCTATTTCCCTAAAATTGAGATGACCAACAGGGCGATCGTCATCAGAGTCTTCGGCTATCTCCTCTACGAAGGATTCATCATCTCCAGCTATCTCTATGTCAAAACGGTTCGTAGCCCTAGCATCACCAAAGTCTTCTTCACCACTAAGATCATCTTCGTCGCTAAGCTCATCCCCAATAGAAAAGTCTCCACTAGCGTCGTCCAAACCTTCTTCTGCATCACCAATTACATAATCATCATCATCTTCATCACTATCATGATTGCCCTCACCATCAGCAACCGGATTCTCTTTCTCATCTCCACTGTAGCCTAGTTGTGTGACAAGTATTTCTTCTTCAGACAAAAGACCATAACCTATGTGAGCGGGGGAAGATGGCCATGCTTCGAAGCTATCATTTCCTAAGCCGGACTCCTTACTTACTACTAAATCCAAAGATCGCACTTCTGAGGCCAATACAACTGCCTTGTAATTATTCCATTCAGTCTCGCTTGTAATTTTGAGCAACCGCTTGATCCGAGGACCCTTCGATGACCCAACATCTATGACACCTTCAAACTGAACATGCACGTCTCCTTCATTCCAGCCTAACTTAGCCTTCACTCGCTCCACTAACTGGGTCAAAGATGGTGTTTCAGAAAAAATCAACAACTCCTCACACATGTCTAGAAATTCCAAACTATCATCTCTTGTCCTAACAATACGGCCTCCATGATGCAACCTCACTAATTTATCCATCTACAGCCATCACACAACAAGTAGTGTCACATATCAATATATCATGCGAGTTTCAATCCAATAAGTAGAAACTAAAATATATCATTTCATCTTTTTCAACCCCAACAACATAATCATTTCTAGTCATACAAAATTGAAATGTAATGACCAACAAATAAATAAAATACAAACTAACCCTAATAACCAACAAATAACTAACCCTAATGACACCTACAATAAACAAAGAGCCCTAATGACCAAAATAACTAGAAACCAAACTAACCTAACATGTTCAGCACATAAAACAGTTAAACAACAATGCACGTAATCATCCTAAGCCATACATTTTGCAAATGCAAACACAAATATACCAAAACAACATACACCCATGATTCCACATGATTAGGGACAATGTAAGCACATCTACGCGGATAGAATGGAGGAGAGGAGGGACCATTACCTCGAAGAAGCTTCGGGAGCCGAGATCGTGGCACCTAGGGTCAATTTTGGAGCCTAGGGTTTGGTGGCGGCGCGGGGGAGAAGAGAAAGAGAGGAGGCCGGCGGTTTCAGAATGGAGGGAGGAAGAAGAAGGGGGCCTCGGCGCGGCCTCAAGGGACCGGACCTCGGCGTTGAGTCGGGCCGCGCCGAGGTCTGGAGGCTCGACGTTAAGTGACCCAACGCCGAGCTACTGGGCCACCGTGCGTTGTTGGGCCGCCTGGGCCGCGCGCCGGATGGTGCCAATAGCTCGGCGTGCCGTCCAGCCGCGCCGAGGTTGGGCCCTTGGCGTTGGATGACACGACGCCGAAGTCTTGGACCCACGCGCCACCGTGTCGCCGACGACCCCGGTCGTCCGTGACGTGGCAATACCTCGGCGTCGTGTCACTCGACGCCGACCCCCATAACTCGGTGTCATGTCACGCCTAAAAATGATCTATTTTCAAAAAATATTTTGACGTGGGTATTTTTCTAAAAATTGTTTTCAAAAGAGACCAAAAATACAAAAATTTCACCTCTCCGGCCGCCACCGCCGCTCTCCATCATAAAAAAATTCTACTCCTCGTTGCCTCGCGTCCGTCTCCTGGACTAACGTACTCCCCCCCTTCTCCTACTTGTAATTCCCCTCCTTCTGCTTGTGCGGCAGGGGCCTCTCCCGCGCGATGGGGAAGCACGAGTTCCTGACGCCGAAGGCGATCGCGAACCGGATCAAGGCGAAGGGGCTGCAGAAGCTGCGGTGGTACTGCCAGATGTGCCAGAAGCAGTGCCGCGACGAGAACGGGTTCAAGTGCCACTGCATGTCGGAGTCGCACCAGCGGCAGATGCAGGTGTTCGGCATGGCGCCCGACCGCGTCGTCGAGGGCTTCTCCGAGGAGTTCCTCGAGTCCTTCCTCTCCCTCATCCGCCGCGCGCACCGCCACTCCCGCGTCGCCGCCACCGTCGTCTACAACGAGTACATCGCCGACCGGCACCACGTCCACATGAACTCCACGCGCTGGGCCACGCTCACCGAGTTCGTCAAGTTCCTCGGGCGCGAGGGGTACTGCAAGGTCGAGGACACGCCCAAGGGGTGGTTCATGACCTACATCGACCGTGACTCGGAACAGGCCGTCAAGGACCGCCTCAAGCGCAAGAGGATCAAGCCGGACATGGCTGAGGACGAGCGCCAGGAGCGCATGATCGCCCGCCAGATTGAGCGTGCGCACAAGTCCTTAGCCAAACCCGATGATGGTGATGCTGCCGAGGACGAGCCTGAGTCCGGCAGTGAAGGAGAGTATTCAGGTTCAGATGATGATGGGGAGGAGCGGGAGGATGGCTCGAAAGAGGCAAGCAAGGCAACTGGGAAGATTGCAATTGCGCTTCAGAAGGCTGTGCCAGGTCCCAAGTTTTTTTTTTTTGACAACAAACGGGGATATATTAACAGCATTTAGCTGAGAGTAATGTTACATGCTGGAAGTTTACAGAGTGCAGTGCCTGTGCTAGAGGGCACTGATGACCTTGATGCAAATAAGAGCATACATGCTGAAAAGTAGTAGCAGCTTCTGAGAAGGCCTGTCTGGCAAGACTGTCAGCAGTAGTGTCGAGGTTCCTGCTAATCTTGAGAATGGTGGCGCGTCTGCGAACCGAGCAGTTGGTGAATGAGTGGGTGAGGAATTTGATCCGCCAATCTGGTGGGTGGGATTGGTCTTGCTGGTTGAGGAAGTGCACCAGTTGCTGGGAATCTGATAAGAAAGTGGTCCTGTCAAAGTGCAGGGTGTCATTGAGCTTGGCCGCAAGGTTAATCCTTTTGAGGATAAGCCGAAGGTGAAATTTGGTTTCGACGAAGAGGATGACTTGGGTACCGGAGAGAAGGAGAAGGATGAGGTGGCCAAGAAGACGGGAAAGGATGTGAAGGCAGCAAAGGCAAGGAGGTCAGCATTGGACGAGCTGATGAAGGAGGAGGAGAAGGCCAAGGAGAGGAGCGATAGGAAGGACTACTGGCTGTGCCCTGGGATTGTGGTCAAGGTGATGAGCAAGTCATTGGCAGAGAAGGGGTACTACAAGCAGAAAGGGGTGGTGAAGAAAGTTATCGATAAATATGTTGGGGAGATTGAGATGTTGGAGAGCAAGCATGTTCTCAGGGTCGACCAAGATGAGCTTGATACCGTGATCCCTCAGATTGGCTGACTGGTGCGTATAGTAAATGGGGCTTATCGGGGGTCAAATGCCAGGTTGCTCTCAGTGGACACTGAGAAATTCTGTGCAAAAGTGCAGGTTGAGAAAGGCCTCTATGATGGGAAGGTTCTCAGGGCTGTCGAATGCGAGGACATTTGCAAGATATACCGATGATATACAACGTGATTCATTCCATTTTCCTGGATCATCACTGAAAGCAAATAAGCGCTATGTGATCCAGTGTGTACTAGCTGTGTCAGTTATACGCCTGACAGCGTCTGTGCTTGTTATTGCTTGTGCTAGAATATCTTCTGTCGAAGCAGTTTTCAATATGCTCATGTTTCTAGTTCACTGTAACTGCTGAAAGGCTATCTGTGATAAAATGATGCCATGTATGTTTGCTTGTTACTATGGCCTTGTTTAGATTACCTCAAAGTTCCAAGTTTTTTCACTCTCTCTCCACCACATCAATTTTTAGACGCATGTATGGAGCATTAAATGTAGGTAAAAAAATAACTAATTGTACAGTTTGGTTGTAAATCATGAGACGAATCTTTTGAGCCTAGTTAGTCCATGATCGGACAAAGTTTGTCAAATACCAACGAAACGTGCTACAGTGTCCAGATTGCAAAAATTTGCAATCTAAACAAGGCCTAGACCAGGATAACCGTATTAACAATTTTGAAATATTTGGTTAACTTCTATATTTCTGTTTCTAGTTAATCTTTTACCAGATGTTTTCTTGGTAGTCTGAGCATTACTTGCCAATCAGTTCTTTTGATAATGTTATCATATTTTGGAATTTGGATGCTATTATTATGAAGGTAAAGAATTCAACTAAAAGAAGACCACCAAAAGATAATTGAGAATTAGTCAAAGTAGTTTTTTCAATGTTTTTTCCCTATGATCTATGTTTTGCAACCCTTTGCAACCCTTTGCGAGTATGGTTTGGTTTGGAAAGTTATTTGATGACAACTGTGCAGTTGCTGCATCTATATTCTGAACAGCTTAAAGGAAGTAGCAAAAAGTTACATATATCTTATTAGCAAATTTATTGATGCAACATACCTTGTTTAGCAATTCCAGATGAAATATGCCTAGTTCAAATATCTCACAAGTCATAACACAGTCGTCACTTTTGCTTTATCCCATGTTTCACCTAGAAAAAGCTCCCCGTTCTAGTCTAGTAAAATGTAACAAACTACTACTGAAACTAAACTGCTATTAGTCTCTGAAATTTGGAGTTCTCTTCAGCCTAATGATAGCATATAAGAATGCTAAAATAGTATCTTAAAAGCATCCATTTACACATACAGTTTTTGTTGAGTGGCTCTGCTTTGTTCTTTACTTCCTATTTGATAGCTCTGAAACATATTACGAATTCAAATTCCTACAAGCCGTGTTAAGTGTCCTGTCCTGTGCCTCATCTACCCGGGTTGCTCAGGCTGCCCGCTCACGTTCGAGGATATTCAGAAGCTACAAAGCACAAAATCATGTAGCTACAAAGCACAAAATCATGTAACTGGAGATCCATCCCGTCTATTTCTTCAATAGTCAATCCTTGAAGCCCTTCTCCAGTTCTTGGTTGAGGTTCTTGCCGATGAAGACAGTCTTGTTGATGCGCCGCTCATTTGGCTCATTTTCCTGGCTGCTGGCTCCAACGATCACAGCTTCAACATCTTTATCCTCAACAGGGACATAAGGATCTTTCTCCGTGTTGACAAATAAATCCTCGGCTACCGAAGCCGGCACTTCAGAAGAACCAACTGCTGTGACATCTGAAAACATAAGACACGGGTATCACCATTACATATGTGGAGTGTGGAGTGGCAGTTGGCAGTAAATAACCATAGAACATAAGACAACTGAAAAGAGTCTAAACGGTGGTGTTGTTTGCAACAAGCAACTTACTTGTGCTGGCTTGGTCAGATTGCATATCCAGTAAAACCATTTTTCTCTCAAAGACAGAGAAAGGGTCGCCCAGCATCACGAAAAGATCAACTAGCTTAGGAGCATTGTAGTCTGATAACTTGATCTGTTAGCCAAACATCTTGGTATACTCTGAGTGAATATGGCCAAGTTTAATATATCCACCATTTGATTTAAACAGCTGGATCATTTCAGTCTTCAAGACTTCAAGATCAACAGGTAAGGACCTACGGATCACAATACCTTCACCCCGTGCAAGGCTTGGCCAGTCCCACATGTAAGTCCCGGCACTAGTGAGATCTGAGGCGGCGGTACCTTGAGACGGGATAGCAATCACAATGGTGTACCCACGCTCGACAAGCACGCGCACTGCCGGCACAAAGTCCGCATCACCAGATATCAGCAACATACATGCAGGTGTGGGATTGTAATATGCAAAGCGGAACATATCAACCAGGATAAGCTTATCAGCTGCATCTTTTCTTATATTGAGGATATCAACATGTCTGACTCCAGTTCTTTGGAGTCCCTTCCTGATTGAAGCAGGGACAGCCCCATACGCCTAAATTGTTGCCGAATCTACAGCAGGATTCATACTTAGAGCCTTTCTAATATTCTTAGATATATCTTCTACTTGTGAATCCTTGGGAACCTTGCAGTTCTCAATGTCCCAAAACACAGCCATTGGAGTGAGACGAACTTCTACAGAAGCCATTGTTTTATCCTTACCTGACAACAACAACATAGTCTTTCAGTCCCAAGCAAGTTGAGGTAGGCTAGAGTTGAAACCCACCAAGAGACCCAAGTCACATTGTTTTATCCTTACCTGAATAAAAAAAAAGATAAAAGGTTCAGATCATGAAACAAATAAATACAAGCATGAAGCATGCAGTGACATAAACAGCAAAAGCAAATATTATGCAACAGGAATGTAAACACCTCAACCAACATCATGCCACAGGCCCACAGTTGAGATATCATTTCCTATATACAGCAACAAGAAACATTTATGGACATACTATCACAATAAGTAAGTAGTATTGATCAACTGCAACAAAATCTATTTTAATATATTTCAGTAGAGGTTCCAAACCCCTCCTGTTCCTTCAAAAAATCCACCAGTACTTAAACTATGTCATGAATAACGACATTAGCTACTCAATTGCATGCATCAAATTAGTTTAAGTTGTCTAAGTCTATGTGTCACTGATATGGGATAAAACTGCAGAAATAGAGATGTTCTTTCTTGAATTTTATGAGTTCATTTTTTCCCAAAAAAAAATCAGTGTACTTTTCAAATATTGGTGCATATAGTGCAACGAATGCATAATTCTTGTCCTTGAAATGATAGTTCTCTATGAAATCCATGTTAAAGAGGTACTTAAAAAAGATACACAGTAAAGTCGTCTCACGTCTTGCGCGATCTGGAGAAGGAGGACTGTTGTTACTCCTTTTTTGACGAGCACCTAGCACTGGTGTTGATGCTGTAGGTAAACTTCTTCCCCGGCGGCGCTTGGAGGGTGGTCTTGGCGAAGGAGTCTCCTCCCGACCACACACCACCTGCGGCGACTATCAGAATTCACATTTCAGTCTAGCATGGAGAAGAACAATAATTTGGCACAGACTACTGGCAGCTGAGTACCTCCCAGTCGGAGAGCAAAGAAGCAACGACACTCTCTGCACTTCCCTTCATGCCCGTAGCAACATCCGAAACCTACAGACCTACACTCCATGGGTGCAACATCTGAAAAAGTTGAACAAATGTTCAGACATATGACTAGATGATAAACATAAGCGTCATGATCATAGTATTATTATTAGTACCACGACGTTGGCATCGATGGACTTAAGCCACTCTGCCTCGCTCTTGAGGATGGAGGCCCGAGGCACCACATCTTGCATAAGTCCAATTTGCATAAGCGTCATGATGTTGGTTGAGGTGTTTACATTCCTTTGCATAATATTTTCCTTTGATGTTTATGTCACTGCATGCTTCATGCTTGTGTTTATTTGTTTCATGATCTGAACCTTTTATCTTTTTTTTTGGTATTCAGATAAGGATAAAACAATGTGACTTGAGGCTCTTGATGGGTTTCAACTCTAGTCTACCTCCAATTTGCTTGGTACTGAAAGGCTATGTTGTTGTTGTTGTCAGGTAAGGATAAAACAATGGTTTCTGCAGAAGTTCGTCTCACTCCAATGACTGTGTTTTGGGACATTGAGAACTGCAAGGTTCCCAAGGATTCATAGGTAAAAGATATATCTAAGAATATTAGAAAGGCTCTGAGTATGAATCGTGTTGTAGATTGAGCAACAATTCAAGCGTATGGGGCTGTCCCTGCTTCAATCCGGGAGGGACTCCAAAGAACTGGAGTCAGACATGTTGATATGCTCAATAGAAGAAAAGATGCAGCTGATGAGCTTATCCTGGTTGATATGTTCCGCTTTGCATATTACAATCCCACACCAACATGTATGTTGCTGAGGATGCGGACTTTGTGCTGACAGTGCGCGTGCTTAAAGAGCTTGGGTACACCATTGTCATTGCTATCCCGTCTCAAGGTACCGCCGCCTCAGATCTCACTGGTGCTGGGACTTACATGGGACTGGCCAAGCCTTGCACGGGGTGAAGTTATTGTGATCCGTAGGTCCTTACCAAGGGAACGAAAAAAAAAACTCCTCCAGCGAGGCGGAGCGGTCGACGGTGAGGGCGTCGGGCTCCACGGCGACGCAGTCGAGCACGACCTGCTCGACCTTGCGGATGTGGAGCCTGGAAGAGGCGATCTCGGTGGTGACCCCGAACTCCGGCGCGGCGGTGACCACGTGCACGTCGTGCCCCGCGGCGAGCATGTGCCTCACCACCTGCGAGGGGAGAGGATAGAGGAGGGACGCAGGCAGGGTCAAAAAAACGGGACGGAAGGGATCAGGCGCGGGCACCACCGCACCAGGCAGGTAAGCCGCAAGCGGGCGGAGGAGTCGAGAGGGAAGGAGGGGCGGACATCTAGGGCGCAGGTGGCGTGCCCGGAGCCGTGGCCGGTGACGTAGTAGGCGAACACGAAGTGCGAGCCGCCGCCGTCTCCGTCTCCGTCACCAACCCTCATCCTCCGGTCTCCGCTGGCAATCGATCGAGTGCGAGGGATCACTCCGCTCCGCTACGACTCTGTGAGCAATGGAGGTGGTTAGAGGAAGAATTGGGGAGAAATTGAAGAAGGATTGGGGAAGAAGTAAGAATAGAGAAATTGGAGAAGCATTACAAAGGCCTCCGCACGCCAGAAGTAAAGGCCTCCGGCACGCCAGCAGACTCTTGCTCGGGAGTCGGGAGTGGACTCTTTTCTGCTGCTTCTCTTCTCACCTGTTACTTATCACGTCGCCGTCGGGTAGGTGGGCGCAAGGGTTCTGGTTTGGTTGGTCAGATACGATCCCGGCGCCGGCTTCAATGCGCCCATTCGCCGCATTATGCTCCTGCCCGTGACTGAGGTTTTTTTTGGTCGCTTTGAGCCTGGTCCGTGACTGACGCCGGTTAGATTTTATTTTTTTGAAACATGCCCACCCGACGGACATGTATGTTTCTATGTGGGTTCACGATCGTGGCCGGCCTAATGAGAGTAAGCCCTTGTTTAGCCCACCCCAGAACGTTACACCATGTCACTTCTAATATTCGACACATGCATCAAGTACTAAATATAGACTAAAAAATAACTAATTGTACAGTTTGCGACTAATTGACGAGACGAATCTTTTAAGCCTAATTAATCTATAATTTAACAATAAAGTGCTACAGTATACATGTGCTAATGATGGCTTAATTAGGTTTAATAAATTCGTCTCGTGGTTTACTGACGGATTCTGTAATTTGTTTTTTTTATTAGTATCCGAACACCCCATACGACATCCCGTGTAACATCCGATGTGACGCCCCAGGGAGTGTTCGGCTGGCATTAATTGGGCACTGTAGCAGCTGAAAAATAGTGGAAGAAAAACACTGTTCTAGCTAAAAAAAAAAAGGGACCCAGCCAGCCAGAAACGGCCAGCCGAACACTCACCCAAAACTTTACGGGTTATCTAAACGAGCCCTAACATTATCAGCTACTACGTGGCCTTGGTCCTATGGGAGTTTGGCGTCATCTTATCATGAAAGTAGGAATACTATATATGGATAATTAGATATGCATGCTCTCAAATCATATTCATCACGAATTGTAAGACGTTTGACTTTTTTAACACCAAGTTTGACCACTCGTCTTATTCAAAAATTTATGTAAAATATCACTTCTTTCATCGTGGTTTGGTTTATTAATAAAAATTCTTCAAGAATGACTTAAATTTGACTATATTTGCATAATTTTTTTTAATAAGACGAGTGGTCAAACTTAGGGCCAAAAAAGTCAAACGTCTTACAATTTGGGATGGATGGAGTACGTAAAGTAGCGGATAAGTTTATGGCTGTGATGTCTATAGAAAAAAAAAACTCATAGGATCCGTTTTGATTAAGATATTGAGGGGGTTGGAATTGAATTGGTTTCAGTAGAAAGTTGTCATAGTATTGAAATGGCCACAATTCGAATATTATTGTTTAGATGATCATTGAATTGCTTTTTGAAATCTTAGCAAGTAGCTCAAATCGAATACCTGTTTGGATGCAAAACAATAGAATTGAAACTCTCTCACACGGCAGAAGGAACTCGTCCCATCTCCGGGGCATGGCCATGGGGGGAGCTCGACCTCGGCGGCTCGCCAACAGCAGGAAGAGCGAGCGAGGTCACCATGGGAGAGCTTGACCCTGGGCATGGCGAGCAAGACAGAGGGACGAGGGAGGGAGCGAGGCCGCCGTGGGGGAGGGAGGGAATGAGGCTGCCATAGGGGAGAGAGGGAGCGAGGCCGCCATGGAGGAGCTTGACCAGCCATGGGGGAGAAGGAGGCGCCAATGGGGAGCTCGACCGGCCATGACGGATCTCGGCAGCCAAAGCAAAGATGGGGAAGAAGGGGACGACCACGAGGGAAGAGGGGCGTTGGCACCGACGATGGGGAAGAGGGCGGCTGGCGCCCTAGCCACGGGAAGAGGCCCCAATTCCAAGCCCCTTCCGTTATAGTTCAAGGAAATGGGTTTCAATGCCAAATCTCAATTCCACGACAGCGTTGAGGAAACTTGATTCCAATTCCAAAGTCTAGGCTTGAATATCTACATTTAAACGGGGGAATAGAATATATTCTATTCAAAGAAATTTTGTTTTGTAATTTTTTTCTTATTAGTGAGACATCTCTAACGTTCTTTTCATAGATTATTATAATCTTTTTCAGAGTTTGTACACAGACTTTGCAGTAATTATTAAATTTAATTAAATCGACTAATTGACCTCATGGCTGGATTACGGTTGACACACCGGCGAGCAGCTTCAAGCACCTTCAGCATTTGCTCCTCATACCCTGTGCCCCGTAGTGTTGGATCCAGAACTTCAATCTGTTTTCCTTCTGATCTCATCTCCCATATCCACTGGACGAGTTCTTTTGATGCAAATGAGATTGGAATAGGCCGCTGGCCTGTGAGCAGTTCAAACAGGACTACCCCAAAACTCTACATATCACCTCTCAGAGTAGCCACCCACCCTTGCCCATACTCAGGGGATGTAACCGAGAGTGCCTACCAACTCAGTCGTGACATGTGTTTTGTTGGGAAGGATCAATCTGGATAGCTCAAAATCCGCAACATAGGCTTTGAATTCTTTGTCCAGTAGGATGTTGCTGGACTTGATGCCACGGTGAACAATGTGAGGCTTGCACACATTGTGGATGTATGACAAACCCTGGCTTGCTCCTTGTGCAATCTTTAGCCTCCTCGGCCAGTCAAGAAATGAACTCGCATCATCATCCCTGTTGTGGAGCCAATCATCCAGGCTTCCATTCTCCATGTAGGAATATATGAGGAACCTCGAATTTCCCTGGATGCAATAACCCCAGAGTGACACGAGATTATCATGATGCGCCATGGAGAGTGCATCAACTTCTACACAGAATTCCCTATCCATCAGACACATTTCACTGCTAAGTTTCTTTATGGCGACCTTGGAGCCGTCAGATAGTGCAGCTTTGAAGACTAGCCCATAACCTCCACAGCCTATGATATTCTCCTTGCTGAAGTTATATGTAGCCTTCACCAAGTCAGTGAATGTGAGCTTATTTGGTTTCTCCCTTGTCTCTTGAAACCATCACCAAGGATTGCTCTGAATTGAGGTTGGACGGCATTCCTCGTATGGCATTCTCATTGTTGCTCCTATTTTTGTTCATGAAATTTGTACTCTTGAAGAAGAAAAAAGAAGCAAGCTAGCAAGAATAGGATGGCAATCCCTCCAAAAGTTATGCCAAATACAAGCACAAAGATGGATTTATTGTTTTGTCGCTTCTTGGAGCTCAATGTTGTTTTACCTGAACTGCAGTGATTTGCAAGCATCGGAGCACAAAATTTTGGGTTTCCTGAGTTTTGCTCCGGTAGTCCTCTTGAAAAGTTTGCACGGGTCTTAAAGCAGTTAGTAATTAATTTTAAATATTTTTGCCACGGGTCTAATCTGAGTCCGGCCCTATGCCCTGTCCAAGCCCAGCCCTAGCCCACGTAGATGTTTGTGGATCGTCACTGTTCAATTTCCACGTGCTACTTGCGCTTGTTTGTTTCAGTCGCTCACCGAGCGGATCGAGGCGATAGTGGATCCGCCGGCGAGGCGGCGACACTAGGCACATGCGGAGAGCAGCTCAAGGCTAGCTGCTGTGAGGCGCAGGCACAGCTGGGACACGGTTTTTTTCCAGAAATGCTGATGCATGCATTTTTTTTCTGAGACACAGATGCATCCGATCCATATTGAACAAACAAATGAGGTATCTGTCATTAGCGGCGAGCAACGCGTGGTAGGATCATCGGCCTAGTTCTTCTTGGTGGGAGTTGCCCGTGAGGAGGCCGTGAACGCAGCCATCCGCGCCTGGGCCTGGGACCGCACGAGATCGAGGTCTCCCTAGCGGCACTGCCGCGCTCGATGGTGCCGCCGCTGTCACCGTCGCCGCCGGCCACACACCACGCGATTGATTGAAACAAACAAAAGCGAGCAGCACGTGCGGAGGGAGTACTTGGTACACTATTTTGCTATGCATCTAATATATAATATGTCTAAATACGTGGTAAAATGAATAAACCAAAAAAATCAAAGCGACTTATAATTTGAAACGAAGGGAATACTTGATTAACTGATTGATGATATTTCTTTTCTACTGCAGATGTGGCTTGATCTAGTGGCTAATAACTAGAAACAATGACCATGGATGAAGTTTCTTTTGGGCTGGAACACTTTGCTCACTAATATGGGCGTCTAGTCTAGGTTAAGCACAGTACTCGTTTCGGAGTACATGCCTACTGCTTTTGGTCTTTTGGGCATGGTTGTCAAATCAAACTGTAACAACAACTAGAATGCACTGTGCTATTTAAATTGCTGCTCCAATGACATCGCTTTGGATTTAACTGCACCGTTAAGTTTTGTAGTCCAAACCTCATTTCGTACTTTGGCAGCCGCGGGACGTTCACCCGCTGCCGCATCCGAACTTATATATCCTGCACGGAGGAGCAGTGTCGGATATAGAGATAGGTTAGGAGGGGTGCTAAATTATAGAAGGCTAGAAATCACCCTTCGGAAGGCTAGAAATCTAGCAAAAAATCTTAATTGCATGGCTATAGCAATTCTCATGATTTTTTACTATAGAAGGCTTTATCCAGAAATAGATTATTTGATTTATTTTTTCCATTCAGACTTAATGATATTTATACGCATTTTCAACGATATCAAATACTCCTGCTGCTGCTAGGGTGGATAGAGATTTTTGGGCCTGGGCTGAAGAGTCGCTCCCTTAGAATTAGGCTCGCGAGGGGGGCTGCCTGGGCTGAAGAGTCGCTCCCTTAGAATCAGGCCCACGAGGAGGGCTGCATCCCCCCGCCCCTGCTCTGTGCTCTCCCTCTCTTCCACGGTTCCATCCAGCGAACCCCCCGCAGCTCCAGGCTCCAGCGGCCGCCGCCACCCGTGATCTCTACCCAAATCATCCGGTTGCAACTGAGAAGCTAGCATGGGGGAGGAAGAAGATGACCCTGACTGGCTCCGCGCGTTTCAGGTCCATCTCGCTTCATCTCCCTCTTCTACCCCATCTCCACTTGAGGCCAAGGCTCTGGCCTCCATGGCTAAATTGTGGCATCTGTTGGGGTAAGCTAGTTTTCTTATTCCTTTTGGAGCAAAATCTTCTGTTCCGGATGCAAGATGCGACCTCTTGCCTTGGATTTCCACCCCACTTGCACAATCCCGCCCGTATGCGACCTCTTGCCTTGGATTTCCACCATTCGTTTCTTTTCAAATGTGCGAATTTAAAACTCTAAAGTAAAGGAAACGAAGATAAATAATGTCGTACTAGCAATTGATCTGTGTCTTTGTGCCCATGGACTCGTTCTGTGCCACAAATTGGTTCATGTAATCATGTCCTACTCAAGAAAGTTCCTGCTCTTTCTGACTTCGTAGGTTTGAGCTCTTTCTGTTCGTGCATTTGTATAAGCAAGTTTGTAGCTATGCGTATGCTCTTTTGTTAAACAGTGGTCGCCCACCTTGATACCACCAAGTAATGCCAATAATGGTACTAGCTTCTAAGTTTTAAGTTGGTGCCATTGACTATGATGGAGCTAGCACCTTGTTCTTGCAGAACTTATTAGCTACTATTAGTTGTCTTCACATCAGCTTCTGTCTTAAGCTTTCCAGAACTGTTTTTTGTTCCAAAGTCAATACTTCAGATAAGTCTATTATGTAGCAGTTACCACTTACCACGTTGATTCAAACATTGTTTTTCTGGGAGCATAGGCACCAAGTGTGGCGCCAGTGATGCTTTCTTCTGGGTCAGATTCCTCTCCTGAAGCCAGTCCTACAAGGACCAGTACATCTAGAGAACAAGACAAAGGAGAGAAGCAGACTAGTCCAGATCATGCAGGTGATAGAGATGGTGCTTCACAAAATAAAAGAAAAATCTCTGCAGCTACTAGAAGAAAAACCGTTGGCAGTAGAAAAGGTAGAACTAACGTACCTGTATATTTTAGTACTATAAAGATTCTGAGGCACGACTCCATAAAGTTTTGAGCCGTATTCATCACATGGTTGCTTATTGATTCTTTTGGCAAATATGCAGAGGGATCAACCATGGACGAAAAACAAGCTAATACTCCTAGACGCTCGGTATGGATTTGAGTGTTTTAGATTTGCTGTCTCCAATTCATGCTATCCTGGTAACTAGGCTGGTATTGTGTTTTTGCTTCATCCATTAAAAAGGGATAACATAGCACTATGTAATATCTACTGTACTATTAGAGGCTCGCGCTACTAATTTGGCCATCAATGAAACTGTGCAGGCATCATTTTATTGTACAGATTATCTGTACCTGTTTTTGGCGACAACATTTTGGGACCTTATCTTTCTAATGTTCAATTTCTATTGTGATATTAATGATCAGACATTGCAACTGTTATGTTTTGTTTAAAATTCACTATGGCATAGTAGTTGTAAACTGGTCCTATATTTTAAATTCACTATTCTGATAGTAGTTAATTTTGTCACATAATATTTTTTGTAGACTCCAAAGAAGGATATGGTAACACTTTCATCTGGTTCTGATGCTTCCGCGGGACACAGCACTTCAAGGGCTGGTGAAGATAATCACGAAGAGGATTCACTTAGCACTGCCAAGAGAAAGGATGCTCAGCAAACTAAGACTAAAAAAACAAAGGTTGCTGGAACAAAAGCTGGTCCAGACCAAGCAGGTACTAAGGCACTTTATGACTTCCATTTCAGTTGATAATTGATGACTTATCACTCAGATTTGGAATGACATGTGATACTGTTTCATGGTTGAACATCAAGACGGAGATGCTGAGGATGATATGCAAGATAAACTCACAGGAAACTCTGTACGATGCCAACTCACCCATCTCTCCACTTTATCCTTTTACATGCTCCTTCAAATTTGGATGTGAAGCTCTAGCTATTTTCAATTATATATTTGCAGCTCTCTGATCGAGTGTATGTTCCTCTAAATGCCAGGTCTCCCAGAGGTTACCATTAATATTTCCTGATAAAGTTCAACGTTCAAAGGTATGCTCAACTCTAAGAGGCACTGCTTATATGGAGATCACTCTCTCGTTAAAATTTCTATATTTGCTACAAAATGTTATCAACATGCCTGTTATCTCCCCCTTGTTATATTTATATTCTTATTTTCGGAAGAAATGTCTTCTTAGCATTGCTGTGTAAGGAATAAGTTATATAGTGTGTAGAGGTACAATCAGGAGACATGACACAAATACTTGTTTGTGTACGATACATTGTATGTCCCCTTTGAGAGAACAATGATTTAACAGTTGCAGCATGGACTAAAACACAATAGACACACCTTTTTTCCCGCTTGAACAACGAATGACGTCATGAGAGCTGCATTTTATTTCCTTAGTTGATAGAGGAAAAACGATTAGCTTACAACTGTTAACCCAATCTGAAATCTGAAAAGAGAAAAATGAAAAATTAATGTGCCACAGAGAAATTGAAAAGACGGCGAGAACAACACAATGGGAAAAAGCCTCAGCCTACTTAACTAACAAGCTCCAGATCTCAAGAGCTTCGGCAGTGTACCAAAGAGCCATATACTTTTGGTTATTATTTCTTAAATGTGTATCTGTGTGTTAAATGGAACTGTGAACAACTAGACTTCTGGAGAATAACTTGGTGAATCTATCATTCCCTGTTATCTTGTAACATATACCTGCAAAATTCCGACTGCACATCCAAAACTATATTTTATTAATATATTTCCCAAGTTATAATCCTTGTTCTGTTTGTTTGTTTTCTTTCTAGGCATTGATTGAATGTGATGGTGACTCGATAGATTTGAGTGGAGATATTGGTGCGGTTGGGCGGATAGTAGTTTCAA